TCTCCATCCGTCTGGGTGAAAACATGATTTTCTGTGATGCTGGAAAGCCACTGAACAGTAGCAGCACAGCAACGATGCAATGGATACAATATGCCACGCCTGTGTAACCACTCTAGCTTGTTTTAAAAGGATTCCACTTTTTACCTATACTTACGTAATTTTAAAAATGTTCATACTGGTTTGAATAATCTTACAGTTTAAAAGCTGTGGCAAACAGTGTCCCTAACTTGAACTTGATCTTTTCATACTTTATCTGTATTAGAATTAAATCCAAGGTAATTAGGAGCTACCTTGACAGTATGTTAGATTTTCCAAAATCTAGTTTTTCTGGAATTTAAAAATAAAAGATGCGACTTCATCAGTTTAGATATTGAGCACCTACAAGCTGCCCTGGTTTGGCTAGATGCCTCTCCACAGCAGTTCACAGTGCACATTTCCCACTCTGGTCTGCCTTGTTTAGATATAGGAACTTCTGTGATTGGGATTCCTCTGACTCTGCTCTTGTAGCTGATAGATTTCTGCCCTTCCATTTAATACTGGGGGAAAAAAATCTATCATTCCTATAGACACAACGTCCTTCAGCTGTGCTGAATCACCGAATAGCTTCTAGGGGAATGGAATTATGTTTGCTTTTTAATGTGGGAGATAAAAAATGTTATCATAAAGCCAGAAACAAAAGAATAGCAACTATGAAACAATGCCAGGCAAAACCAGCAGAAGATCTCTAGGGGCTGTACCAATCTTTATAAATGCATAATTTTAATTTCATTTGACAACTACACTTCTATAGTATTCAAAGATCCTGAGAGAACATTTTACTAGTAGCTATATCATAAACATGGTACATTTTAAGGAGCACAGCTCTGCTCATTATTGAAATTCAGCCACCTAAATATATTTGAAAAAAAAGTTTTCCTCTTGAGAAACTATCAAACATTTTTTGTAATTAAAATTAAGATTTTCGGCATTAAAGTTAATTGTTAATTAGGACATGGATTATTTAAGCTTGGGCAAATCTAGCTTTCTCACTATTAAAACAGTGATGAAAATACTTTCCTCACAGGAAATGCTCTTGTAAATATCATATAAGGTAATATGTGAGAGTACTTTATAAAATGACTATTTGGATGTCAGGTATTATTTTCATTTCCCAAATATTTTATACACTTCTATAGGATTTTCTTTTTTTTTTTTTGCACCGGATATTGAACTCAGGACCGTGAGCTTGCCAGGCACGCAGTGGGCTGTTGAGCTATCTCCCCAGCCTTATACACTTTTAGAAGGCCTAGGACCTTTGTGGAAGTTTTTCCAGCTTAGTCTAAATTTCTATACCAACTTAAACACAACAGTATTTTATTACTGCATACATGCAATTATGATGACTTTTCAGTAATTCAGAGTACATTTTCTTCAATTCATTCGGATAAGTTTCCTATACATTTTATTCTACATTTCTTCCAAATAACCATAAAAAGCTTGAAATTTTCAAATATGTTTGTTTCCTAAATATGAAGGCTTATAAAATGTGATGATTTCATAGTTTAGGCATTCTCTGAAATCAAATAAGAAAGTAGTTATGATTCATATCGTGCCAAAATAAACATTAGTATAAACCAGTACACTAACCCTAACCTACAGAAAATAAAAGAATATATATATCCATAGCTCCCATTCTCCCAGACAACCCAGTTCACCTTTGTCCCATCCACATTTCACCACACTCCAGTGAAATCAAGAGAGAATCTCTGGATCCAGACTGAATAATATTAGCACTTGGTATACTTTTAAACAAAGTATCAATACAGGCCATTTTCCAAGAGAATAAGGAATTATAATTCTCTCCAGTAATCCTGAATCAAAAGTTTGCATTAAGCAAAAAGGCTAGTGTCTCTCATATTAGAATTTTAGAGAACATAAAATGTAAACATTCTTGTTCCATGGAGACAGCAAAATTTTCAGTATATTAATACTCTCACTCATTTAGAAAAATAACCCAGAAATTTTAAAAGTAGCTGATCAAATTAGTACTTTTTATTTCACAGGATACCACATCCACACACACTGCAAAGTTATTGCTTGCTGCCCATGAGACAGGGGCAGACAAGTTAATCTTGTTTTCACTCTCAAGTTTCCAGCAAGATACCTCCAAAAAAATCTTAATTCTGGAAGATTCTACTCAAACTCTTGTTTAACTTCTTGGTTTCACTTTTTTTTCTAATAAAAAACATTAACAGTACAAAATAAACAATAGCCCAAACTTTTTCCTCAGTAAATTATGAATTACAGTCTCCCAAGTGGGTAAATCGGTATACAAGAGTGCCAAACACAGAACTGAAAGAACAAAGATCATTATTTATGTCAGCCCGAAGAAAAAGGGAGATTCTTGATTCAAGAATAACACATCATTTCAGGAGGCAGTAGAATGCCTGGGATGTTAACAACAGTTCCTAAAAGGCTTGGCAGTTTATGAATGTCTTTTTAGCTTAACTTGTTTTACCATTTCTAAATACAATGATACTTAGTAGCATTCTTTCTCTAAATCAATGTGCAATCAGAGTTACTTATTCTTTTTCTTGTTTTAGACACACGATATTGGAAGGATTTAAGCAAAGGAAGTTTTAAAAAATATACAAGGTTAAAAATTCTATTATCTGATAGAGGTTACATTTTTGTTAAATGTCTTCAGTTTTGTTTCTCTGTCCTAATGTGCATGATACTTATGAAACTGACTGGGAGAGGAAAGGAAGACTAGCTCATCAAAAGTGCTCCCTATCATCCACTACAAATACACAGAACGTGAATGGAGGCGAATCCTTTCCGTGAATGGAGGTGCATCCACACTTCAATGAAAACATACATGCTAAAAGTCTGTGGTGAACCTAGGTAGAAAGGAAGAACTTTGCTATTTTTCTTATATCTTAGACCGAAAATCTCCAAATATTAAATTACTATTAATTCAATTCTGAGATTCCAAACATTGTGACAAGGTCCAGTGATGATAAACAGCGGTGTGCCCCCAGTGAGAAGATTCTGGCTTCTAACTGTGATTCAGACCAAGTAGAAAAGTACTACTCCCATCAAGTCCACACTGAACTTTTTGAATGTGGTATTCCAAGTATTGTGGCTAGTCAAATGAATTGGGGAGTATGTTTTTGATTAGGTAAGTTCTTCCAACAGCAGACAGGACTTTAATTTTTCCTAGTGACATTATCTTCTGAACTGTAGAGTTGCACTGAGAAGAAATCCCACAAGGAGACTCTCTCCTGTAGGATGGCTAGAACATTTCCTTGGTGGCAATTCTCCAGCCTCATGATACAGTTTTTGTTAATTCTACTGATGGTTCATTCTAAGCCAGAGAGGTAATGGGGTAAAGCCGAATGGCTTATATTCACTTTATTCTGCAATAAAAGTCTAATCTTGAGGTAAAAAGGAAGCAATTAAAGAGGGAACAGATATACAGAGTTGTTCTAATTATGAGACACCTCCACACCCAGAGCAGGTATAACTAGGCACCCATCCACTTTGAACAGTGAACATTTTGGGGATCAGTGAAAATCTTGCAAATGAAGGGTGGAGGAGAGGGCAAAGCAGCTCTGCTCTTCCCTTTCCACGCATACTGTAGGCCCTCAAGGCACACACGACCCCAGAGCATGCTTCTTCCTCTATCCAAGACTTCTGCTTTCCTCTGGGGGGCACCATGAAAACTGAACGTCAGAGGAGCATTTTAGTTAAGCCATTCCTCCCAACCCCACTCAAAGTGATATGCAGAATAGGGCAGGAACACAAGAATATCGAACAAAACTGCAACTTTTACAACAGAATTCCAGCCCAGTGTTTTATTGATATGATCAATGTTTAACTTGGATATGAAAATGCTAGCACATGGTAGGATTTGATATTAAGGATTTTTTTTCCTTTGTACATGCTAAACTCCCAGCATATCATATCTACAAAAAGCTGGGAAACAGACTAAGCTATTCTGATTCTACATTGTTATTTATTAAAAAACCCTCTGAAAATGCTAATCAATTCCACTGTATTTAGAAACAGTAAGTCCAGCTACAGTAAAATGGCATTCATAGATAGTCCAGCCTTTCAGGAGCCTTTGTTAACATCCCAGGCATTCCGCTGCCACGTGAAATGATGTGCTAGTCTTGAATCAAGAGTCTCCCTTTTTCTTCAGGCTGACATATATAATGAACTGGGGCAGACATAAATAATGATCTTTGTTCTTTCAGTTTGCTTCCTGGTGTTTGGTACTCTTATGCACCATTTACTCCACTTGAGAAAACCCATTCCATAATAAGTAAGGAAAATGGTATAAAATCTTGCAGGAGACCTTCAGTCTGAGGTGAAAAACACTCCCCACCCCATTTTCCTTTTTTATACCTTTCATCAATACTGGAATGACATGTAGGAATCTTTTAAAAATCATCATTTAAAAGTTCTATTTGACAGAGGCTACACTGAATTGTCACATGGAAGGGATAATTTTAATCACCTCCTCCCTTCCTTTCAAAAATGGACAGAATATTTTAGGGTATCGTACTTCTTTGAATTCCATCTGTTTGGAAATAACTCTACCGCCTCTCAGTCCCTCAAATCCTACCCATTCTTTTTTTGTTTGTTTGTTTTTGTTTTTCTCCGGTACTGGGAACCGAACTCACGACCTTGCGCTTGCCAGGCAGGCACTTTGCCACTGAGCTAAATCCCCAGCCCCGCTACCCATTCTTTAAGAACTGAATCAAACACTACCACAACCTAGCTCCTCTAACTCAGTGCTTCTTAACCAGAAGGGATTCTTCAAATGCCCCATGGACCATTTGGCAATTTCTGGAGATACTCTTGTTCGTCACAACCAGAGGAAGGGGAATATTATCAGTATCTAGTGGGTAGAAGCCAAGGATGCCACTAAACATCTAATGATGCATAAGAGCACCAGACAACGGAACCCAGAATGTTAAGAAACTGCTCTCTCTCTTTTCTCTGAATCCCCACAGCACTGTGATTTGCCGGTTTCATAGTATGAGATTATCCATCCCTTCTCAATAATATACCGAAAGAGCAAACCGCCAATTATACCGATATGGAGAAGCTAGGATACAGTGAATAACAGATGGCATTTACCACACTGAATGGAGTTCAGCTATGCTGCTGCTACACACTAAAAGATGTCCTGCAAAGTGCTTGATGGCATCCCCACAGGTCAGTAAAAAAAATCGTGACTATGGCTGTGTAAAAAGATTCTAGCCATGCTTCCAAACTTACGCTAACATGACTGGCAGTGGGAGGGTAAAAGGTGAGGGAACCGTCCTGGAAGCCATGCAGACAAACAGGTGTTGGGCAAGCAACCAGTGACCCAAATTAGGGTGTTAAGAAATAAATGTGAGGACTTATCAAGAGCAATTCCTAGAGTATTAATAAATTTTCCCTCTCAGTTAAACAAAACCAATTAACAACAATCACAGTCCTTCTCCCTTAAGTTCTATTATTTCTAACTTAAGACAAAGTACTTTTCTAATTACAAAGGAGAAACATCTCTCAAATTACTTCTATCTGTCAAAGTTTTATCTTCAATCTTAGATTGGGACTGACAGTTCCATGACTCATAAGCTACAAAATTTAAAACCCGTATCCTATTACTTTTGTGTGTGTGTGCTAGTGCGGGTAGAATGCAGGGCCTTTACACTAACCTATACCCCAACGTTTTTTAAAAAAAATTTGAGACAGGGTCTCCCTAAGTTGTTATCCAGGCTGGGTTCAAACTTGCAATCTTCCTAACTCAGCCTCTCAGAGTGCTGGGATTACAGGTGCCCCTATGTCTGGATCATTGCTTATTTTTTTTAGGTAAATATTGAGGCAAGGACAACCACAAACTTTATTAGCCTCAGATTACAGATTCCCAGACATCTTATTTCAATCTTATTTGATGTCAGAAAAAAACCCTTTATCTAATGTACTGTACTTTGTTCTAAAAGATCCTGATTAGGAAGTGCACTTCAATAGTTTCAAAATTCAGCTCATTAGGTATTTCATTTCAAGATCCACACCTTCACTCATGTACTCTGCTTACACAAAAAGACCAAGCAAAAAACCACATGGGTATTTCATCATGACCATAAATATGAGTAACTAATGTTACTGATTTCTAATTTTTAGTTGGCATTTTTTTGGAGGGTTTGTTTCGCTTTTGCAGATGTGTTCTCACTACATTGCTCAGGCTAGCCTCAAACCGGTAATCCTCCTGCTTCAGCCTCCTGAGTATGTGGGATTACAGCCCACACCACCATGGCCAGCCTGGTTTTCACTATAATAATCAATAAAAAATGAAATATAAAAAAACTATACTTGAGATATAAGAAAAACTATATATGCATATCTACAGACTACCCAAAATGACTTACAAAATAATTCAGATCACAAAAAGCTGCAAAATAAAATGAACTCAGAAATAATGTCAAACAAAAAAGCCTAAAAATAGTTTTAGAAATTATCCATTTGCCAACGAAAGTGACAGTTGGCCTCTATATGTATGAAGCTAATTTTATTCGTTTGACTTCCTACTACAGTGTACACTAATGAGAGAAAGAAAACTGGGAACGTTTTGTGGAATTTGGTTAATTTTCATAAAGACGATAAAACTAAAACAAACAGTATATATTGAAGTCAACTGCCCATTTAAAAGTGTCAGAAAAAAACAACATCATGATAAAGATGCAAGAAATTGCATGCAACTTGTTCAAACCTGAACCTGGTTTACAATTCACAAAGGGAGATTACAGAAGCAAGAATACGAAACTCAATCACCTACATAGGCCTGCCCCCTCCTCAAACAACTATGTTGCAAGTGCAACAATATCAACTAAACAAGCTGACCTATAGCGAAAGTCTGAAGAGTAACTTCATAAAATAATATACGCAGCTACACATAAAAAAAATGAGTTTTCATCATATGCTAGCACGCTAAAGGATGAGTAAAAGCATTTTGAATAAAGCATTGTTTTCATCTTTCGTTTTCAAAGATAACACTACCTGACAGGAGACCTTGTCTGAAAAGATAAATTAGGGAAGGTTTGTCTTTTCTCCAGGGAGCAAGTATAAGCTGGACCTTTGATTAGGAATCATCTCTGCGATCTGAAATGCCTGTTGCCATTTGCAACTCTGCCTCCTAGACTCGAGGTCAGCCTGGGCTCAGAAAGATCAATTTCACTCCAGATATTGTCAAGCTATTCTGGCATTTGTTGTGGTTTCGCAGCCATCCACAATATTGGTTGTTTTATCTTATTATGTAAGTGTTACTAAGTGAGACTATTTGCTCAGTTACAATCTAAAGGATCATGATATAAATAAAATAATCTCAGTTTAAATGCTCAGTAAATTTTATATAACCTTACTTTTTCAAAACTTATCCTTTAAAAAACTAAGTTAACAATAGAAGGTTTATTATTAATCCATTGTTTATTAATTGGGATAGTTTAACACATCACAGGTGATTTAATCAGCTTCTCATGTGGATGATATATTCATAATGAAGTCAAGGTACATTATGGCATTGTAATTTGTTATTATCAGAGGTCACTCAATTCCCTTCAGTGCAAGGTACAGATGAACTTGATTAAATAATCATCCCGTTAAATCAAGCACTTGGGTGATTAGTAAACTGGTGATTTCAATTATAGCAACTCTCTTGCCAAGGATATATAAAGGCATAAAAGCCTAGGGAAAAAATTAAAAACTAAACATCTTCTGAAATTTTTCAGTGTTTTCCTGTGCATTTTGGATGCTCAGCAAAAATGAAGAAAATGTGTATTATGTTTTTTGTTTTTTTTTTTTTTTTTTTTTTGGTTTTTCTCCGGTACCAGGAACCGTGTATTATGTTTTTATTCCCCCCAAAATATTATTAGTAAAGAAGAAAAAATGATGGTAAGTCACTTAAAAAAATTGGTGATGAGAATGTACGCAGTTTCTTACCTTTGTTTTGTTTATGCACATTTTTTATATATTCAGCATTGAATGTTGACTATTTTATGCTGAGGAAAATATTATAAACATAAACTTATAGTAGCAACATACATATGAATATTAACCAGCTTTTTGCCAAAATTGATCAAAAACAAAACACTACGTGACTTATCACAGTTCCCATCAACAACTAACCTGCTCGGTATGGCCATGATTGAGGTTATCTTTTTTACTGGACAACACATGTTGTACAACACTGATCTTGCTTCTCGGGCAGGGATGAATAGTTCATTTGCCTGACGATCTCAGCAAAAAGTTCATCTACCATTGATTTACTTTTTGCTGATGTCTCCATGAAAGGACACCCCCATTCTTGAGCCAGAGCTCTGCCTTCTGAAGACATAACCTCTCTTTCTGGTTCCAGATCCACTTTGTTTCCCACTAGGATTAGTGGGACTTTTTCATATCTCTTCACTCTGACAATCTGATCTCTCATCGGCTTGATATCCTATTCAAATAATCACAAAGAGAAAGAAAAAAATTATGTGTTTGCATAACCACAGCAGAAGTATAACAATATTACAAAAAGGGATGACAAAAAGTCATCCCTTAGTGATTATATAAAGCCGAATCCACAATCACACACCCAAATAAAGAACAGATCATTATTATTTTTTCCAGTGAAGAAGGAACTGGATAATTTCCACAAGCTCTACCTGCTGGTTTTGTGTCAGAATTATAAAACATAGGCTGCCCACTAACCTTAAAACTCATATGATCACTTTCCCCACCCTTAGTCTACACTCGTTAAAAAAATCAAGTTCCAAAATATGATTAATATATTCGTACATAAGGACTTTTGGCCATCATCCTAAACCTGCCTGTTTGTCATTGTTCCTTGTAACACCTGTTATCCAAGCACAGGATTGCAGCATCTATGCATTCCTGGCCATTTAGCAAGAGAGCCCGAGAGAAAGTGTTTTAGGTGGGTATAAAAAAACACTTTATAAGATTTAGAAGACTAGCTTTAAAAACAGATTAATACACACTTAAATTTTTCATTTAAAATTGAAAAGTATGTCTTTATCTCCATAAAATTAAACACTTTAAAATACACTAAAAATTATAGTAGCAAATCACCTATCAGGAAGGATAATACAAGAGGAGTCTGGGTGGGAAGTCATACTTGCCTCTATGTTTGTTTTTTCTAATTGACTTATTCCCCTCATGTATTACATTTTTTAAGTAATCACAAAAGATAAGAACCTTAGCAATTCTTCAGTAGCATTCATTTTGGGAGGGGAAAAAGTACCAACTTAAGGCAACATTACAGAATTAATCCTAGCATTACAATTTTGTGGGTTTTTTAATAATTTAAGATTTTCCTTAAATATAAAATCTGTATTTAACTTGAATAGTTGTGGCAAACATATGAAAAACAAGGGCCCATGAGAACTTATAAGAAATATACAGTAGTTTGATTTTTGCAAAATTTGGTTTGATCACGTGTCAATTCAGTCTTCTAGGTTAAGCTGCTTTTATGATTGTCCTTATTGAAACACAAGTTCAGCTGAGAATCCAAACTTACTGCACGTGGGCTCAAATGAGTCTAAATCTGTTGAAATAATGCGATAGTTTTATCCCTCTATGTTCATAACAGAAGTGGATATAATGGAAATCTTATGAAACACCCTCCAAAAGACTCCCAGCCTCAAGAGAGTCAGCTGATAGAAGAACAAATCCCTTAGGATCCTTAGAAAATGTCTGTCAAATATCACCGTCAGTACTTTGGTGGTTTCTGTGGAAAAATGCTTTTATGACATTTTGCTTTCGAATTTAAGCCTATACATAAAATGAACTTTAGTTTGGTCTTGTTAGCTTTGATTTGCTTTCTCAAAACTTAGTACCTTAAAAAACAATCTTTGAGGTTGCTATATAAAGTTACTGGAAAATTTTACCATAGTACTTTAACTCAAAATATTAAAGAATGTGAAATTAGCACATTTCATTGGCTAAAGCACTTAAGATCTCTCAGGTAAGCAACATTAAGTGCATACTTTTAAATGCAGAAAAAAATATCCATTTCCTAAATCAATGGAGGTCAATATAATGGGTCAATATAAGGTTATTTATTTTCAAGGAATAGCAGCGTTTATTGCATCTCTTAAAATAACATTAAACCTTTAGTCTGTCTCCCAGTAAAGGACAGGACAGATTTTCCAAAGAAACTGGACCAGATCCACTATGGTCACACTGTCAGGGTACACTCGCTCAGTGTTTCCAAACCCACATATTTTCTATGAAATATAGGTGATGACACCAGAAACAATTTGGATCAACTGCAGAACAGGGGAATCAGTTTTGATTTTTGTTGGTTATTAATTCCAGGCACCAGTCTTTTCATTGAGAAACTCCCCTTTCTACTACAAGCCCCAAGTTAGTCAGTAAAATGCCTGGAAGGCAGGTCTCCAGTTCATCTTGCAGCACCAAGATTTACAATTGTAGCTGAGAAACTTGGGAGAGAAAAGAGAGGGGGAGGGAGAGGGGACGCAGACACTGGTCTTATCTATACAAGAGATAATGAGCTCCCAATAATTTTCCTTTCAGAGTGTTCTATTTACCCGAGATTATCTGTTAAATGCTGTTTTGTTGAGTAGGTTAATCAATACTTGTTGAATTGAATAAGCAACTTCACAAGGTTACGTTCCAGGCTACATTTGCGCGACTGACCTATTTCGTTTTCACTTTTCTTTTCCTTAAATACGACTTTAAAATATTTGTTGGCGCTTGCTGCTTTAGTCCCCTCAATAGAAACAACCCAATACTTTTCCATGCGCAACCTAAAAAATGTGCCATGTCTAACTTTCAAAAGCAAAACACAGTCATTAACGCGCGGTTCAAGCAAATCAGAAGTAGGATCACCACACCCCCTCCTAACAAATTACAAGACTTAGTTTGGTTACCTGGAAAGACTGTTGATTAACCAGACTATAAACCAGGATGAAACCTTGGCCGTTTTTGATGTAGAGGTCTCTCATGGAGGCAAACTGCTCAGTTCCTGCGGTGTCCAGAATTTCCAGCACGGAGGGGGAAGAGTCCACTTCGATCTCTTTGCGGTAGAAGTCTTCAATGGTGGGGTCATATTTCTCAATGAAAGTCCCGGTGACAAACTGCACAGTCAGGGCAGATTTGCCAACCCCTCCGCTCCCTAACACCACTACCTTGTATTCCCTCATGAGTCTCACCTTCAGCAACTCCTACCAGAGGGGGCGAAAATAACACCCCGCTAGCTGCGCTGCGGCTAGGCAAGGCGGAAGGTGGGCGGAAATCTGCGAACTGGGGAGGAGAGTGCAGAGCAGCAGGGCCGGCCGGGGAAGAAGAGGAAGTTATGGGCGGGGAGGGGAAAGAGCGAAGTGTCGGGGTGGGTGGGGAAGGGACGGTAAGGCCCTTCCTATAGGAACCGAAGCCCAGGCAGGGGGCGTGGGG